GTGATTTGTGACAACTGCATGCGTAGTAGTGCAACATATTCGAAACTCTTGCACCTGACGGCTTGGGCGAACGCACATGCTTAGGATCGAGTTCACTGCCGGAACGCGTGCTCCAATGGACAGTCAGATGTGAGCATGAAAAATTTAAATTTCCATCAAAAGCCTTTGGTAGCGCCTATTACCTTTCTTGAATCCCTTCCCGCAACAAAATTGAACCTACTCGTATTCCTCTCAAAGAGAATCAACAGGGACGAAGTTTCGCATGCTTCTTTCTCTCTCAACACAGAATCTCTCCAGTAAATTCAAAGCTCCATTTCCCCGGGGTTATGGAGATCACTGAATCTCGCTTTCTTAAGAAGTGAATTTCGTTCCATTTTTTTTCTCATTTTGACCTCATTTTTGTTTTCGTACTCGTATCCACGACGCGGGAGATCAATTTGCATCAGCACCACTCCTCCCATTTGGAATTAAATATTCAAATACAAATAACGTTTTTAATTGTATTTTTTAAAAAGTGAATTTCGTTCCATTTTTTTTCTGCCCCCCCCCCCCCCCGCTGGGTGGCCACACCTGGGAGGCTTTCGGAGGAAAGAGACCAACCATCCGAAACACAGGGTGTCCCATTTATCGCGGACGATTTTAATCGCGTATTAAGTTCTTCCTACTTGAGCAAACTGAACAAAATGTTCACAACATCTGGATGTCTGTTTAGCATTTATTGTGACAAAGTAACAGCCAAAACAAATTCACCAGTTAAGTCTAAGCGACCAAACCGAGGGACATTCCCGAACTGAAGGAACGCATTACCGCTGCGTTTGGAGTCATTTGAAATGCGCCAGAAAACGCTGCTTGAATACCGGACACGATTGGAAAAAGTGCTTGAAATCGATGGGGGTCGTGCTGATGTTCATGGCTTGTAACTGGTGAATTTGTTTTGGCTGAAATTTTGTCCCAATAAATGCTAAACAGACATCTAAATATTGTGAACATTTTATTTAGTTTGCTCAAGTAGGAATTTAATACGCGATTAAAATCGTCCGCGATAAGTGAGACACACTGTATATTGACTTGTAGAGGCCGAAAAATGCCCTTTTTGTTGTTTGCTATGCACCAAAAAAGAAATTAGCTGTCGTTCATTTAGGCTTCGAGCGCTAGCTCTGATCGAGACCCCCAGTGTTGCCGGATATCGAGCCGAAATTACGCCAGATTCAAGACTACTTTAACCGTCATGTTGCCGTCTGCGTCTTTTTTTTTTTAACGCGCGAGACATCCTCGTGCTGAGTTCATGAGTTGAGCGGAGATTTCGCGTCCGGACATCCCTGGGTTAACAGGATGGTGCGCATCGTGGATGTCATGCTTCCTGGAGGCATCCCCTCCTCAGACCTACACTGTAACGGAAATTTCGGAGATTTCCGAGTCTCCTTCGTAAAAATTTCCGATTAAGAAGCATGCAAACCTGCATTCCCTCCTATGGACGGGGAAATTCTCCTCGGAAATCCGACTTCGTCTAATTTGCGGAATTTCCCCTTTCTTTTCCCCAAAATATTATGGCTAAGGGACATGCATTCGAATTCCCACGTTTAAGTGAACTTAAGTTTGCATTCCGAACGGCAGAAGACAGAAGGCAGCCTCCGAAATCCCATTCATCGTGGCACCGGAAAACGCACCGATGCTCCGGAAAACGCACGGTTTTCGTTCTCAGGAAGAAATACTCAAGAATTAATTAATAAGGGGAGGTTGCGTAATGATGAGGACATCCCATTTCTCATGCAGTATTTCGATTGGAACGGAGCCGTTTGAATAATGGAGGCAATTGCGGAAAATCCGGAACGGGACGGAAATTGACTTCCGTGAACCGAAACCCGATTCCGACTATGGATTGGAATTTTCCAGAAAATGAGAGGAAAGCTTGCTTCAGTCGGAGGGATCCATTCCGAGGTGTTTGTTTTTTTTCGGAACAGCAAGTTTGCGTAAAAAAATTAAGGGACATGGTTTCCCCTACGAAACGGAATCCCCTTCTCTGCGCATTAGACAGAAACGTTGTTTCTGACGCCTCAGTCGGAATTGTTTTACAATGTATTCGAGATGGTTCGAGGAGCTCCAGATTGGCCTGACGTACCATGTCCTCACTCAGATGGTTCATGAAAGTATGAATAAGCCTGCGATCTGCCTAGTGTTGCACGTCCTCGGCGAGATGTCTCGAAGCTCACGGATTCATCCTTGAAGCCCTAAATGGGCCCCATAAGTCCAAAATTGCGTTTTTCCTTTTTTGAAAGGGAAAAGGGCTGGCTTTGGGGTGATCTGAAGGGAGTGTCTTCTAACTATAGCGGGCCCGGTAGAGGATTGGGAGGGGGGGGGGGGGGATTGAAGAAAGTGAAAGCCATTGAAAAATGGTTTTCATACAATGCATAAACAATATGACAATTAAAAACGTTATTTGTATTTGAATATTTAATTCCAAATGGGAGGAGTGGTGCTGATGCAAATTGATCTCCCGCGTCGTGGATACGAGTACGAAAACAAAAATGAGGTCAAAATGAGAAAAAATGGTAGATGAAAGCATGAAGCTGTTGTGGGCACGGAGAGGGCACCGCGACAAGAAAAAGGTAATACGCGGTAAAAGGGTAAAAATGGGCAAATTGGGGAAACCCTCTTCAGAATAGGTCACACAGCTTTGTTTTGCAAACTGATCTCACGGGAAACATCAGAATCATAAAAAAAAGTTTCGTACAGCATTCAATTTCGCACAGGAGTTTTGTAAAGGCTTGGCGAATATTGCGGTTGGCCGGGTTTCCGATGGGGATGGAAGTGAAGTCGACGGGAGGGATTTCTCGCAGAGGAAGGCATCGCATTTGGCAGCGAGGGAGGCTCTCCTTTTCCTGCAGAATTTGAGGGAGGCGAAGGCTGCCTCACACGAGGAGGAACTGGAAGTGGGGATGAGACGCAGAGCACGCTTCTCGATTAGTTCAGGAATGCGTTTGAGAGGCAGTCAGGGATGAGTGCAACGAGGAGGCAGCACGCTCCAGGACGGGGCGGGTATCGGCTGTCCACGCGAGGCTCGGAGTCGGTGGCGAAGCGGACTCTTTCAGCTGACGAGGGAATCGTGGTCTGTGATCCTTCGAGAGAAAACCGACATTTCATTCGTGAAAAATCGACTCATTCGGATTCGGTCTGAATGGGAATAATGGGCTCAACGATTGTCTTGTCTCCACCTCAGCAATAGACCCAATCGGGGTGATCCTTCGGCCTGCATCTGCGCGGGCACTCCTTCACGAGCGGAGCGTATCTGGTGCCCGAGCCGAGCCAGAAGCCCCCGTCCCGACGGGTCGGGTAAGGCCTCGTCTCTCCCCCGACGAATTCATCGCAGGTGAAGCTGGCATGCACCAACTGGAATCGGGAGACGGCCTTCGAGTCCACGCCAGGCCTTCGACCGCACAACCCTTGGAAGACACACGGAACTCACGAAGTGTTCCCGGGCTTCGTCCCACAAGACGACACGGAGCAGATCCTGATCCAATCCCTCGTCGTCGCTGGTTTTGCTCTCGAACACCATTTTTCTTCCCAGGTAGTGAACGAAACTTCGGTTCTGCGACACCTTTGCGCCCCAAAGACCTGTTAGAGTGCATCCATGTGTTATACTAAGAACCCTCGGACAAACTGGCTATCACCTTTCTTCAAGCCCACCCCAATCGAGTCATTTGCGCCTGTCGAATTCAACGGAGTACAAGCGAATTTCCACCCAGGACGGGATTCGAATTTCCTTGTCGCATTGGACCTAAAAACCAAATTTTTTTTGCTCGGACAGCCCGTAGTTTTGACTAAGATTATCTTTATAGTTGTGTTCCACATGTATCTCGATGGAACAGTCGCGACGAACAGCCCGAAAAAACGTCACGAGAAGTATAGATGGAGGCATACGTAATATTTTGGGGAAATTCCCGTGATTTTCAACAAAAATGTAACGACGACAAAATTCCCCAAAGAAGCGAAATTCTCATCGCATCGAGACAAAACGAAGTAGCGCTTCGAGTTTTAGAAATCCACGATTTCATCATGCACATTTCTGTCTCAACGAAGCCCTCCAGGACCCAATTTCCCGGAGTCCTTTTCCCGGAGGACTCGGAATCGACGAAGGAAGAGGCGCCTCACCCGCGAAGACGGGACCGTGGTGGGCGGGGTGATCCTTCATGGCGTGGAGGAGGTACTCGGACTCCATCCATTCCTTTACGGCCGCGGCCTCGCGGGAGGACACCGGGGAATCCGAATCTCTGACGAAGAGCGAAAAATAAAAGCTTCAATGCAGTTGCATGGAGAAGTGGGTCCCAACTTTTACACAGTTATAACTTTAATTTGGTATATATATATTTCTAATGTGCACAGGTGTTTTTCCTAGGTATCGCTGTTTCAGGGAGATGAGTGAGGAATTCCTTTCTTTTCTTTTCTCCTGGAAAGTATTTTCGATAATAAATTTTTATATTCCATAAGAGAATAAAGGATTTGGGAAATCTGGGAAGGAAGAAAACTGAAAATAAAATTTGACCTTAATTTAATTTTTACGACGGCGACTAGACCACAACATCCCAAACAAGCGAATCGTACCGTGCTGGATGGAGTGAAGGTAGACGAAGCGCAGCAGGCCGATCAAGTCGAAAATGCTCACAGATTTGGAGGGCCGGGCGACGGCGCACAATCTGTGGGCACACGGTAATCGCGGCGGTTACCACGTGGTAACTGCCGGCTCACGCGTCAGGAACTCTCTCGAATCCGCGATAAATGGTATCGGTTGAGGCCGATTCAGCCAGAGGCTCCGGATCAACTTTGTTTGCTCTCTTGCCAGGACGTTGCTCTCCCACTGCTGTCGCTGGCGCCACCTACTGCTGGCCAACGTCACTTTTCTCATTAGAGGGAAGACGTCGATGGTTGTCGGGACGGTTGTTTTGCACGGAAGTTTGCCTCGTCGAGGATAGCTTAAACACTGAATTTATTTGACTCAACGCGGATCAACGCTGAAAGGTCTCCATGCGCGTACGCCTGATTTGTTGAGCTCGAAGAGGAGTTGCATAATACGTGGAGCTTGAACTGCTGAGATTTTCTGGAAATGGACGTTGGATGTCCTAAAATTCAAGTGACTTCATGCTTAGATAAAAGTAGTGAAGATTGGGGTCGTATGGGTTCGGACGCTATGCCTTGGCATTTTCCCATCTCTACTTCATTTGAATGAACATTGGAAATAAAAGAGGAATCGTTTGAGGAAGGAGTGAGGTTAAACGGTATCCCATACACATCTCATGCACATCACATAAGCTTATCAAACACATTCATTGGAAAGGACTTCCAGAAAACATTCGTTTTATACTTAGACTTCCACATCTGATTTTCACGACGAGAGCAACGATCAATAATAGAGCAAAAATTTAAATATAATTTATTTGTAATATATATTGTACACGAATATTGTAGTATATATATTGTATGTATATCATATACCAGATATATTGTCAAGTAAGAAACTCAAGCTCCCTTAAGAGTCAACTTGAATTTTTTTTATTTGATCAGAAGTGAAGTGGATATTTTAGAGCAGGCGTTGGAAAGAAGCAATCTTGGAAATAATTTATGACATCCATATCTTGGTAATAAGTTCCATCGGCGCATTTACCCCGAACGCTTCCGACGAAATCCAGGACCCACCCGATCCTGCATCTGCACACGATGGGATTGCCTGGAATACGCGGAGGACGAGAAATGTTGGATGGCAGAGGAAAGGAGAGAAGGAATGGGATGTGGGAGGCTGTGGCTAGGCGGGGGAATGTAACTCACCGTACAGGTCGATGTACCCTTCCCCCGCTGAGAGGTTCTCTAACATGAGTACGAAGAACTCCTTAGTGAAGTTTCTGATTTCGTTGCCCCATAACTCGATTCTGGTCTCTGCCGTGAAACCTGTAATGAAGATGGAGGAGATGCTTCGTTACCCTCTGGCTTGACTCCCCTGTTGGACTTTGCAAGGGGAAGTAAATGCCTGCAAATGTAATCTTACTTCTCGATTCCTTAGTGGAGGAATTTACCTGTGATGGCATGGGATTCCAAGCTTGAAATGTTGTTACCTCCAAGAGACACATATCGCAAGGCTTCACTGTGGAACTCCAACGTCCCATTGAACAGAGTCGGGCCCAGGTTGCAGTTGTTACAAGAAAAATGCCATAAGTTCTTAAAGTTCTCGAAGAATCCGTGCTCGACTTCCGTGATGGGATTATTATCTGCCCGGAATTGAATCAAGTCAATCGAAAATCCATCACGTAACTTCAAAAAGAAAATGTTCCATGATGACGAGGAGACTAAAGAGATGGCGGGATCGATTAATGTTCTCTTTCGTACCGTCATAATGCCTCCTTCGCGCGTAGGAAATTAGCTACTCCATTTCTTTCAACGGCTAGAAATTATATTAAGTAGCCGCACTTCATGATTGGGGGTAAGAATGCATTCGTCTCTCAATGAACAACTGCGAGTCCTAGGATGTTTTCCATTATGCTGGCGATAGTCTATTCTGCGATAACATAGCCAAGACACGTGCATTTCGCGATGTGCGGCGTCATCATACTCACGGGCGAACTAATTCCTTCACTCTACGTCTGTGGAAACCGGCTGATGACCGCAATATATCTACGAACTCATTGAGTCCAAGACGATGGCACTCACCCACAAAGAGAGCCGTCAGGTTCGGCGTCGACCACCCGACCGTGAGCCTTGCTATCTCATTGCCCCCGAGGTAGAGCCTCTCCAGACTGGGGCTTTCGACGGGCGGCAAATCGAGCAAGAAATTCTCTCCAAGGTCGAGATGGACGAGACCGGGCATATCGGGCAGGATGTCCCATGGAAATTCCCTCAGTTCGCCTGCCAGGATCTCCAGCCGGCGAAGCCGCTCTTTCGAGGAACGGAGGGCCGAGCGATGAATGGATCCCACTCGGGTGTGCAATAGGATTATCCTTTCGAAGGAAACATTACCAAACAAGCCCGCCGGGAACTCTTCCACGGCCTCGTTCTCAAACAGCGTGAAATCCCTGGAAATAGGCATAAGTTGTATGGAAAACCTCTTGATTTTGATCGACCTTCGGCCAGTGTTCCGGTTTGATATCTGGTCATCCCCGGATTTTTATATGAATTTGATAAAGGCTGAGAGGTGTTTGGCACTGGAATTTCATGTTAAGTACCTTAAAATCGATTCATTGATGAAGATTGTGAACATGGGTGAAACAAAACCGAGGGGGTAACATCCCGGTAAAAAAAAATGTTCGTTGGATTATCGTCGGGCCATAGCTGGGGAAGCTGGCTCATCTTCGGCGAATGATTAAGCCAACCAACTCACACTCTTGTCGTAATGCGGCGGAGAAGATTCCCAAAACCGTCGTGAGATGGAGTCAAAGTGTTCGTAGTAGCGAGACACTTCCTAAATTCAACTGAAATGAGTCCTCCGGACCTTTGACACAGTTCCCTGCGGTTTCCCACATTAATCTGAGAGGAAGACAATTGAATTCCCAGGCACATTTCTCTGAAGATGTAACCCAGCCTAGGGATACTTTCAGAAATTCCGACCCGGACGTTGGTGACACGATGGCTCTGCTATATAATTGACGCTGTAGGTTTTATTTCATGCAGGCAACAGTCTAATCGGAAGCAACATGATGTACAAACCTAGTCTGCCATTTTACGAGAAGGCAACTTCTCCTGTATTCGTTGGAAGGACACCATGTCTGCTCAAGCGTGATGGTCCAGTTATGGGGTTACTTCTGATGCATGGGTCATGGATGAACTGACATCGTACTTGATTCACAGCCAAGATGGAGATGAAATCTCCGAGAGAGGCATTTGTCCTAGGAATGATTGATTATACTTGAAAAATGCGTAATAGAAGCCAGTTCATGAGTTACATCCAAAAATGTTTTCGCTGCGCGGGAAGTCGGTTCATCATTGTCTTGTCTGTGGGTATCTGCAGATTTCCAACCCCGATGAAGGGCTAATAGAAGATGTCCAACCATAAGCCGGCTTCATCCAACAGTAAGCCAACCATCAGCCAGTGATGTCCCAAATAAGGCTTATCAACGAAAATTCCTCGATGGGACAACAAAATTTTTTTTTTACCGGCATGGGAGGAGCCGCGAAGGTCCAGATTCTTCGAGAGGAGATAAAAAAGAGACGGAATGACAATGATGATCATAAATCATGAAGTTTCAAATATTTGGCGTTTTTTAATTTTAGAATAACTGCCGGTACGGAGGAGGAGGGGGGAGGGGGAAGTGAGAGGGTTAATGAAACTCATTAGTAAAATTGAGGAAATCCAGGAATGCAAGAGGGGTGGCTTCTGACTCACAGTTCAACTCACCTGAGTTGCCAATAGGGCCAAACGGCATCATTGAAAGTCGAGAAAATTTCGTCGCTCGATCTTGAATGCGAACAGTCAACAGACAAAAGGCCAGAGTCTTCGTGGTGGAAGCAGGTGCAGGGGAGGATGTCACTTGGATCGGGACAAGGAGGCGGGATTTCCCCGCTCGTCCCGAGGGCGAGGAGGAAGGAAAGGGAGAGGAAGGAGGGAAGGGAGAGGAACGCGATGCATCGCTGCATCTTGGAGGTGAGTGGGTGGGAGGTGCTGATGAGATGAGGATGGGAGTGGATACGCACCGGTTCAGATGGATAATGCTCATTTTGAAGTCCGTGCGTTTCAAGTGGGAGAGAACACTTGACGTACCCCAAATAGGGGAAAGATAAAAGCTTTTGCTTAAAGAAGATTCGAGAGTGAGTTAACAAGCGGACAGTAGACTCTTACGGGGTTGATCAAAGCAAATGCCAGACGCTGGGAAGTCGATCAACCAGTTTCTCTTTGAAGGCAGAAATTGGACAATGGGCAGCCTTCTAAGGAATCCAGGATCAGCTGAAATGAAAACTGATCGGAGGGCCGGTTCGGTGGGAAAGAGAATGAGCGCTTCAAAAACGCATTCGGTGCTCAGATACTTCTACACGCTTTCAATTTCTGTAATTTTGTGCGTCCATATTGTGATTGCTCCATAAATATTTACTCTTCGCAAGATAGAATATATCACTTGCGCCGCATTCAGAGATCCGAGAAGATATCCTTATCAATGCATGCGTCTCTTTTGGACATCGGGCATCCCTGCCGCCCCCTCCTTTCCCCTTCCGCTCCGCAGTCTTCAAGTCGATTGAGATAGAAAAGACAGGTTTTACCCTTATCGAATCATGTGCCGCAGAAGAAAAGCAATGTCGACACAAGAGCGATAAGAGCGGAATGGCTTAGGGGTCAGGAGAGAGGCAGTTAGTGCTTTTTCCTAAACGTTCCAAGATTTTATTATAAGGATAGGTTTTACAGCATTTGAAGCGCCCTATGGTAAATTTCTTGTTTAATCTTTCAGGAATTTCTTGGTTATACCCTGGCCTTTTAGGGTCATTGAAATAATTGAATGCTAGTTCAGAAGCGTGCTGAGAGAGGGGGTTGAGTCCTCTGATTCTATAAATATAGGAGTTAGGAAAGAAAGTAGGGAGGCGGAAGGCGTATTTAATTGCAGCTCGTTCGATGACTTCGAGTTGATTGAGGACCGTCTCTGGGCAGTTGGCCCAAGCTGCGAACGCGTATGTTAGGACCGGGCTGAGGTAAGTTACATATAATATTAAAATGACATGAGGTTCACATTTATTAGTCCTGGCCAGAATCTTTAAGCAGATAAGTATTCTGGATGCTTTCGAGCGGATTACTTTGACATGATTGTTCCATCTGAGGTGACTATCGAAATTTACGCCAAGAAATCGGGTGAAGCGAGAGCGCGGGATGAGCACATCGTCCATGCGGACGTTTACAGTATGTGGTTTTCTGTCGCGGGCGAACAAGAGGAGGGAGGATTTGGAGGGATTCATGCTAATGCGGCAGTTGCGACAGTATACCAAACCAACTTGATTCTGAGCCCATGTGTAAGGAGGAGAAAGCCTTCTCTATGGAGAGCATTCCCCCTAAAGGATTTCACGTCTAGACAGGGGAAGAAGGAAGGAGAGATAAGCCAGACAGTGAAGAAAAAGTGTTATAGGAGCTCTTCAAGAGAACTATCCGTACACGTCTCCTAAGAGTAAAAAAGGAAAAAGCCAAATAGCGAACAAACTTCAGCATCCTAACAGAAAGTTAAGATAGAGCTAGTACATACCGACGTGTGAGGTAATCACCTACTTCTTAGATCTTGATACTGGCCATCGTATTGAAATTGGTGCCAATATCTCTCCGCCGTAGACGGACTGAGATTCAAAAATTGATAAATCTTATGTGCATGCAAGCCAAATTTTCCTTGCGTCCTGGCGATAATGAGGAGGTTCTGCTTGACGTCTCTCTCCATTCGATGAGCCATCTTGGAGGCAGAGTGCATATCTTCCTTGGATAATGCCCTTTTATTCATGTCGAGCCGAAAACTTGCTCCAACGTTTTGTTACGGTCAACGAAGCGAGTCAATTCCGAATGAAGTCGTTCGTTCTTTCCATGAGGCGGAAGGGGGACATTGGGTTCACTGTCTGGTTTCTTCTCCTTCCCTCCCCTGTCTGAACAAGAATTCCTTGAGGGGGAATGCTCACCCCTGCTCGTCCCATCCATATAGGAGGCTTTCTCTTCCTTATACATGCGCTCAGAATCAAGTTGTTTTGGTATACTTTGATAGAGCGTTAAGCTCCGCCTGAGCCCGCGACTCGAGGGCAGTGACCTCTCGGCCTGAGAGCCAGAGTGCGGTATAGTCCGCGGATTGGCTCGTGCAAGCATTAAACTTACGTGGGATAGAACTGGAAAGATCGTTAACGTAGAGAAGGAAAAGAAGGGGTGCAATTACGGAGCCCTGCGGAACTCCCGCGGAGGGGGAGCGGATCTCGGAAAAGGAGTTCCCGACCCTTACCCTGAAAGATCTCTCAGTCAGATAGGATGCTGTCCGTCTCAGAAGCTGCAAGGGGATTTTAAAACGAGAGAAAGTTTATAGATTAGCTCTGCATGCCAAAACGTATTTAGTGGCTTTAGTGACATCGAAGAAGAGGGCAAGAAGGTGCTTTTTACCATGGACAGCCACCAGTGCGTCATGATGGAGCCGAACGAGCTGATCAGTAGTGCAGAGATTCCTACGAAAGCCTGTCTGTGAAGGGGAGAGCATGTTATTCAGTTCTAAATAGTCATGGAGACGAGAAGTACGAATTCTTTAAAAGAGTTTTTGAAAGGTGCTGAGGAGGCTAATGGGGCGATAGGAAGAGGGGTCTGACAGGTTCTTATCCGGCTTAGGGATCATTGTAATTGGGAGTTCTCTGGAAAAAGGGTGTTTGTGTCCATATAGGCGTATGGGCACATACGCCCTTTTTCC